TTATATAGTGCTAAGAATAGTCATATAATTGGTGTTAAACATTTGTAGATCTTCTTTGAAAGTCTGATGCATCAAGCACTTTCGCACTTATTATTTATTCTTTTATTTATTTTATTATGTACGTGCGCTTAATGCCTTCGAAATCATCATTGTCGATATGTATTGATGTACTAGGATTAAATCATAGCATATATTGTGCATCAAATTTCACACTAATTTAAGTACAAAGTAACTGTATCATCATTATATAATACTTCCTTAAAAATTTTTATTCTCAGATACTAAACTATTGAAAATGTGATTACACATTTGCGTTTATCAATTGCGTTAAATCATAATGTTGTCAATATAATACGTAACGAGTGATTCTAGAGTTTATTTCCCTGCTTTATTGTACTTATATGTATATGTAGGTCAAATATTGGCGCTTCTCATCGTTATATTTTTAGTAAAGTAAATGAACAATATCTCTATTTGAAATTCCATGATATTTTAACTCTGTTTCACTCGTTTCTTTAAAGAAAAGGAATAAAGGATTGATAAGTTTTCTAACTGATTTCTTTTGTTGTAATATCACATCAACGCATGTAGCGGATCGCGTCGCAGTGCATCTCGGTCTCATCGCAAGAGGAATAAATTGCCAAAACTACAGAATCCTTTAGTGTAATCAAAAGCACATGCATTTCAGCATGTGTTCAAGTATTAAGAGTTTTCAAATAAATTGTTCTATTAGTAAAGTACAAAAATACAAGTAAACTAGTAAGTGTTGAAATTATAGCAACGGACAAGTGTTTTTATACATTTGAAAATACAAGAATACCATAAGAATGTTCAAAAGCTTTACATGTATATATGTGTGTATATATAAGCATCTTATAGTATCGCGATTATAAAAAAACTGTAAAAATATACTTTATTCTGTCATAACGGTCTAATTTATTGTTAAGCATGGTAAATATCTTTATGTCGTTTTTCAGCAATCATTTTAATACATACATAGAAATAAAGAATAAATATATGTACATACATATACCTATGGAGTATAACAAATTAAATATTTAGTAATAAAGGATATTCAAAAGCTGCTCGAGTAGACTACCTTAATTTCTTTCGTTTAATGTAAATAGTATATGCGTTTTTTTACATAATTGATATATATTTTTTGATAGCTTTAATTGAACTTAGGCCACTTTTAAAATAAACGGTTTATATAATATAAAAATATATGTATAGGCTTTTCTATAGTACAGTCATTATAATTAAGTTATTTATTAAAAATCTCAGATTTATTTACTGCTATTGTTGCATTTGCTATTACTTTAATTATATTACAGATATAGTGCTTTAGATGTATGTCGCATTTACTGAATTTCTTTAAATGTTTTAAGAAATAAATAAAGCATATTCAACCCTTTTGATATAACACTAAGCAAAATTCAATTTTCGCGCCATTAGTTCTTATCAAAAATATGTTCAAAAAGTTCCATTCCATGTCGGTGACATAAAGCCGCCAAAGCCGGTCAACCGTCAGATTTACATGTGTTATTGAGGAGAGCGAAATCTTGTAGAAAAGTATTAGTTCAATAATGTTCTTTTATTATCTCCGAGGACTGAAGACATGTGTTTGATACACAATTTGTGAGGTTTGTCTCAATTCTAGTTTTAATTTTGATGTGTACATTTTTTACACATATATCCATAGTAGTAAATCAAGTCAAGAATATCGGCACAGTGCTGAATATCTGTGATACGGTTTTAGATCTATGTGTGCATGTACAATTCATATGTAACAAATGTAGCGTATACGGCATACATTTCGAACTGAACAAAGAATAATATTGGTTGGTGTTGATTGAAGGCAATTTTTGTGAAGGCTTTTCTTATGTACGTATTATTGCATTACATTTAAACGAATGAATAGTTGTACATTTTTATTCGCGAAATTGCAAGATGGTTATCTGATATCCTTTACTGGTACCTTTTACTGGTACCTTAGACCATACATACAATATATAAATAAATGTATTTATATCGATACTTGTTAAAATAATATACAAATAAGAAGTAATGCAGTTAGAAAGGAATATGTTGGAATGTAAAGAACTGTTCGTATGATCTTCCGGTCTCATTATTCGATCAGTCACGGCCAACATGGCCCACTTTTGATTAACGGTTAGGGTTAAATAAAAATGCACATTCAACTTATCTAGCAAATAATTATTGTTTTAGATTGCAAGTTATCTATGTAGTCGATTAGAAGAAGATACATGCCAGACACAATGAGTATACAGCAGAACAAAGAGTTGATTTTTTTTGTGACCCATGTTGAAGCAGAGGACACATACCTCAAGATCTGGGGTCAGGTTGATAAAAACTCAGCAACATGCGTGGAACGCATGATTTTACCTTTGATTGAACATTTCACCAGAAGTCAAGGCTGCATCGGACCTGGAGCAGCTAATTTATCTGTGAATGCACTTTGTTGTGCTAGATATCACAATGAGGGCTATTACCGAGCAAAAATTCTTAATGTTTGTCCTGACGGGATGATAGTTTTGCAATTTATTGACTATGGTAATATCGAAGTATTACCACCTCAAGAGGTACATTTGCTTGAAAATATACCTGATTCTGAGTCTTTGCAATCATTTCCGCCTGTGGCATTTGATTTTGTCTTAATGAATGTATTACCTGTAAATGGTGTTTGGGAGAACAAAATAGTTGAGTCAATTAAGAAGACCCTTTGGTACAATGAGTATACAATTTTAATTCATTGTACAAACAGTACTCATCGCTTCATCAAACTCTGGTATAACAATGAAGACTTCAGCGAATTTTTGATCAACAGAAATTTAGCACTGAAAGCAACATATGCAGAGATGCTTAGGTACCTATTTTATATTACATTATTTCACAGTTTTTAGTTATTCAATATTAATGTATTTAATATTAATTTCTATATTCTTGATATTTTATAAATGAATAATTTATAATTTCATAACTTATCAAAAAATCGTAACATTAATTTTTAAAAATAATATATAAAGAGCTCAGTAATGATATGAAGTATATTCTATTATCATAATAAATACAGTTTTTTAATTTAATTCCAAAATAATATAAACAACCTTGTTTCGAGAAAACGTGACAAACATTATTTTTATGAAAAATTGTCATGCACATTTGCAGGTCAAAAGGTGTGCGGCATCCTCAAATGCAACTTTATCAAATTCCAAACAAGCGAGTTATTACTAATACATATGCTGCAATGGCACCTATGCAGCATATGAATCCTCTACGCAGCAGTGAAAGTGAAATTTGTGGATTCCAGCAAAATACTCCCGTATGTTGTGCAGCACAGCAACAACATATGTTTGAGAACCCCGTTCCAGAAGCTCTTGTGTTTAAGTCTCGAGTACTGGACGTTGGATCGAAACATGAAGTATACGTTTCATTCGTAGAAGATGGCCCACATAAGTTTTCCATACAGCTACAGAACACTTCTCACATACTGAGCGCACTTATGAAAGACATTAACAGCCATCCATTGCAGCCGTTACAAGAACCACCTTTACCTGGATCAGTGTGTTTGGGCCGTTATACGTTAGACGGTGTACTTTGTAGAGCTGTTGTAATGTCTGTCATGGAAAATAAGTGTAAACTCTACTACGTCGATTTTGGTCATACTGAAGTTTTGCCATATACGGATATTTTCCAATTACCACCTCATTTTATCAACCCTAAAGTACTTTCTATTCGATTTACACTAAGTGGTGTACACGAATTAAATGTTACGGATGATATGAAGGATTGTTTCAAGAAAATAATATCAGGAACACTACTTGTTCTTCACGTTCGACCACCTGAGGGACCACCTTTGGTTCAATATGGTGACTTGTATGATAATGGGAGAAATATAAAGGAAATTCTTAAACTAGCATTTCCGTCAACAGTTGCAATAACATCCTTAACTTCTCCAACTTTTGGATATCATGAACCTAAAAAACTATCAAAAGGCGCAGAAGAAATTGTGATCGTTTCATATGTCGAATCCTGTAGAAAGTTTTTTGTACAAGAAGAAAGCAATGTTAAGTTTCTTGAACTAGTGATGTCGAATTTAGCAGACTTCTGCGCAGCAGCACCCACTTTAAATCCATCACAGTTAAAGATTGGTCTTCCTTGTGCTGCTTTATATGATAATCAGTGGTTAGTTTTATACATATATAACAAAATAATGTGCATTAGAATACACAAGCAATTTAAATGAATTTATTTTTCTATTAACTATTACAGGTACAGAGCACAAATTCTAGCTGTAAATGCGAATAATGTAAAAGTGTTATATGTGGATTATGGTAATGAAGAAACTGTAGCTCCAATGTCTCTTCGTATGATATGCGACGCTTTAGTTAAAAAATTACCAGCTCAAGCTACGAAGTGCTCTCTGAATGGCTGGGAACTCTTGCCGTGCACTCAAGAAGTTCATAATCGATTTGAGCTATTGATTTTGGAAAAATGTTTGCGTATAAAGGTTGTAGATGTAAATCCGGAAGGCATAGTAGTTGATTTATATGAACCACAACAAAATGAAAACATTAAATCCCAAATGTTACGAATAATTGGAACTGAAACGACAATAATTAATGAACCATCAGATTATCATGTTACAGAACATCAACATTCTGTTAAAATAGCCAATATACAATCAAACCAACATAAAGTCAATCAAAGGTATTCATTTGTTCTTATATTTAAGTACATAATGGTTTAATTCCAAATAAAAGAATTTAAAAGTTCCTAATTTAAATAAATTGAGATATTATTTACTGGATCACAGGTCATATACAAAAATGCAAGTGTATTCGGTTCAACAATGGAAAAATGAAATAAATATAGAAACAACATGGTAAAGTTAATGATAAAAGAATTAACTTCAATGTTCTTTTTTGTTTCTAGAACGTTGTACATTTATTGATTTTGAAACTGGGATATGTTTCGTTATATTATATTATTTAATTAATTCCTGTGAATTATTTCTGTAATATCGTAATAATTTCATGTACACGAAAATGCAGTTTTGTTCATAAAACTTTATATTCATTTGATTTCAAATTAATTCCTCGAATTTCTAATACTATTTAAATATTTCTTTAATATGTGCTAATGGAGTATATGACACGTATTTATGTTCCAGTGATTTCTGGCAAAATAAGAATCAGTCAGATTCATGGCGTCAATCACCAAATAGTAATATACAAGAAAGAAATAAAAGTAAAAATTGGAAAAACGAATCAAATGAAGAAGTGCAGGAAAATAGGAATGAGAAAAGTAATTTTTATCGTAATGATACGCGAAGTGAAAAATTTAATAGAGATGACTATTCTAATAACAAAAGCATGAAAGATAAGTGGAATAGTCGAAACGACTATAATGGTGGGAAAGGTATTAGAGATGGGAAGAACAGATCTTTGGGATTTACACCTAAAGGGCATTCTTCTGAAAAGAGTTGGAGCGATAAAGAATCAGACACATCGTCTAAAGGTAGCGGTAAACGTGGGAGCAGTGGTAATCGCAGTGGATATTCTAGACGTGGTGGAACTTCTGGGAAAGTACAAGGTAATAAGTACAGTGACAGGGATGGTGATGGCAGTTTTAGAAGCGGAAGGACAAACGGTAAGTTTTCTAAATTCATTTATGTACCTTTAAAAACATTTACAAACGAATATTTTTAATCAACAATAGGTGACTCCTATGCGAATAACAGAGTTAAAGATAAAAAAAGCCAAGCATATAGATTAGCTCAAACTAAGGTAAAATATATTTTTACTGATACGCACTAAAAGTATTGTATTAAGTTTAGTATGTGTACATCTCCGCTGATGTAGTTCTGATCATCTGATTGTACGTAAGTTATATTTTATTTCCAGCTTAATTCTATGAATTCTTCTTCCGAAGGAGAATCATTTAATCAAAGATACAGTCCTATCAGAAAGAGAAACAAATCTCATATTCCTCGTCCTAATGTAACTATTGGAATTGTACAGAATTGCGAAATAGTCTATACAAATAATGTTTCGGATTTTTTCATACAATTAAGTCCCGATTATACTGCCTTGGACACTTTAATGGCAAACATTGCGTCAGTTTATGAAAATGGTGGAGAATTAATGAAAGAATCGGAAATATTAAATGATATGTATTGTATTGCTCAATATGCAGAAGATTTAAGATGGTATAGAGCTATAATTAAATCTGTGGAAGGAAACAGTGCAAACGTACAATTTGTAGATTATGGAAACACAGAAAGAATAGGATTTGATAAAATTAAATCTATTCAAAAGGAATTTTTGCAACTTCCAATACAAGCGATACATTGTAAACTGTTTGGTATAAGAAATGATATTCCTGATGAAGATAGAACAAAACATTTTGAATGCGCGGTTACTGGGAAAACGTTAGAAGCTGAATTTATAACAGAAGAAAATGGTATGTTTAGTGTTTTGCTAAAGGAAGTTGTTGATGGTTATCCAACAAATGCTTTTATAAACGAAAGATTTTGTGAAAATATCGACTTATTAAAAATGAAACAAGCGGCAATATCTAAACAAACAACTACTATTAGTACGAAAACATCAAATAAACTAGACTGTGCATCTTCTGATGCTAAGTGGGCTACAATTTCACATACACCTGGAACTAAGAAGAATGTAATTATTACATGGTTTATTAATCCAAACAATTTTTATTGTCATGTACTTGATAGTGAAAATGAATTCAGAAATATGATGAACGAAATTCAAAAAATGTATGTTGGTAGAGAACCAGTGGCTTCACATATGTTAAAGGTAGTAATTTGAACAATTATTTATGCGTAGATTGCAGACACATTTAATAAACAAATTTTATACATATTTAATAAACAAATTCTCATTATTTCCAGATTGGATCTCCCGTCATAGCGTTGTTTGCTGATGATAAAGCTCTTTATCGTGCAGAAATAATTGAGTTGAATAAATTAAATGGTCATCTTGTCCAATATATCGATTTTGGAAATAGTGCTGTGGTTAATCCTAAAAAAATTTACCCAGTAGAAAAAAGATTGCTGCATCTTCCTAAACAAGCTATGCTGTGTTCCCTATTAAATATTGTTTCACAGGATGGTCTTAACTGGTCTAAAATAAATACAGAAGCAATTGATAATTGCTTCAATGCTGATAAATATGAGTGCACTTTTCACGACATAAAAGACAACAAATATTTAGTATCGTTGGTCAATAATGGGAATGATGTAGCTAATACCATAGTCGAAAAGAATCTGGCATTATTTAGTTCAGGAACTGATGTAACAAATGATGGTAGGTATCTTTTGTGGTTATTGTATGCTTCATTTTAATTAATATATAATCCGTGTATTTAAATTCAATTTCCAGGCAAAAATGCTGTAATATCGCTAATTTCGTATAATGCGGAAAGAGTCGATATAAATCTCTTAAATGGCCAGACACTTCGAGTAAATGTTTCGAGTGTTCAAACTACATCAAAATTTTATATTCAACTAGGTTCAGCTATTGAATGTGAAAGTATAATTAATACATACATGACTGACAAAAATCCTGAGGTATGTTGCATACACCTAAAGTGTTGTAAATATCTCTATTATTCAATATTAGAAAATACACTTCTTTACATATCCGTAATAAATAATACAAATGTTTCTGTTGTATCATTCTAATTCTTTAACTAACAAAAATCATAAATTATTTCTTATATTTCATTGCACGATGTATGGTATTAATAACATAATCAGTAAAATATATCTCCAAGATACTATAATACAATAACTTTCTTTCAATAAAGTAAAATGTACATATATTTATACGTTTATGATACGAATATTTAACATACCTGCCGCTCGAATTATCACTTAGAGTTGTAGTTCATAAATTGAAATTTTTTGTAAGATAATAATCAATAAATTTTGTATATTTTACGGTACTCAATACTCGGAGTGTATAATTTAATTATATTATATTAGTTGAATGATTTGAACATACGTAAAATAGGTATATTTATATTATAAAGTTTTTGTTTAAAGTAGAAAAATAGGTAATATTTTTATTTTTATTTGTGTGTTGTCTATAATTTATTATATTCATACATTTCTTGCGGACGAAGATATTAGTGTTTATGTTATATTTAACATTGCATGACTTAAATGATCATATATACTTTATGCACATTGAGTATGTCTATTAGTGATTTACATAATCTGTGATGTTTGACACTAATCAAAATGTCATTCATACATGCATATGTTAACTTGAGAACTAATGGATATCTCATCAGAAAAAATGTAATTAAAGTTCGTGAAAAATACGAATAATATAAAACTAATATCACTACAGACAATTCCAAATTGAACTTTATTTACTATTGTCTAAAAGTTTGAATGAATAATATCGGTAAGAATAAGTATGGCAATGGCAGGTGATGCAACGATTATCAACCCATGAGATATGTCTAGGCACAGGTTGTCTGGTTTATTCAAACGGAGTTTGGAGACGAGGTGTAATCAATAGCCGTTCACAGTCTACTGGCTTTGATGTAAAATTCATTGATACTGGAGCGTATGATGATATTCACTCAGATAGTGTGAGTTTTTCAAAGAAAAAAGAAAGGAGATCAGTCGCTAGATTCAATTTATAACAAGTAATGTAAAACTATGCTAGGAGTAGGAGTTACTTAATACCATACTTGCTGCATTGAATGATGTTGACGCAACATTTATGTTCGTAAATTTATAGTAGTATTAAAATGTTGAATTTCTTATGAAGATTATTAGTTTCTGAATTGTAAAACTGTAAATTAATTGCATTCTTTACGTATAAACTAGCGTTATGCAAGACACAGAATTAAATACTTATGAATAAGTGTCTCAATAATATAATTTTACTATAGTAGATAAATAGTAATATGTTATTTGCTTTTATTGAATTTTTGTTTGATGAAGTATTCGATAATTAATAATTTATACATTTAGGTGCTAGCTTTGCCAGGAGAACTCGCAATAATGCAGAATCAGGCAATTGAATGTTCTCTTCTGAACGTTGTATCTGTTCCCGAAGCAGACGTTGCATTGAAAAAACATGTTGAGGGAAAAGAAGTAATCATATACGTAGACGAAGTGGATAACAATAGGTAATTGCAATATTCACGTTTATTAGATGTTTTTTGAAAATTGCATTATTTCTCTCTTCCACTCTCATAATCTTATATATGTTTCTAATTTTGATACAGACTTATCGTAAAATTGTTTGATACAAATGGTAATGGAATAAACTTTACTGGAAATGCAACTGAACAAATATCGCCAATTTGCCCAATGCCTATTCTAAATTCAACTCATAAAGTATCAGTATCTTTCGCGGATCATTCTGCTAGCATCTGGCTACAACGGACTTCAGAACGCATATTAGATACAAATCTAGTTGAAGCACTCAATCAATATTACAATACTTCTTCAAAAGAAAAGTTAGTAGAACCGAAAGAGAATCTTGTTTGTGCTGCTAAAAGTGCAGATGGTCATTGGAATAGAGCTAAAATTCTAAAATGTGACGAAAATAGAGTTTATGTAAATTTCATTGATTATGGCAACTGTGAAGAAATTACTCCTGACATGATTGCAAGCTTGGATCCTCGTTTTTATACACCTCATCAATTAGCTATCAATGTATCTCTACCAGTGACGCTAAATGGTACCGTATCCGAACAATTAAGCATTCTACAAGATTATTTGATGAACAGAGAGCTTACTGCTGTTTTTCATAATAAAAATAAAAAATGGGTTGCGGAGCTGTTATTGAATGGAAAAAAAGTTAGCGATCAACTTCGATTACTGAATTTAAGATCAGAACAGGAGACATCTGAAACAGGAAAACCACAGATTCATAATATGAAAGTGGGCTGTACATATGACGTGATTGTCTCTCATATAGATTCGCCTAGTCAATTCTGGCTTCAACACGTCGATGATGCCACGGACCTAATGAATATGCAAGGGAGTTTTCAAGTACAAGCGTCTACGTTTACGCAAGTAAATGAAATATTAGAAGAAGGAAGTTTGTGCGCAGCTGTATATACTATAGATGATTCATGGTACAGAGCACAAGTACTTGATGCGGACGAAGATATTACAACTGTACGATTTATTGATTACGGAAACACGGATGTGATCGATAATAATTCTGGAAGTATTCGAATATTACCTGACTCGTGGAAAGAAACCAGCGTACATTCGATCAAATGCAGATTAGACATTATCCCAGTAGACTCGGAAGACTGGAATACTGCAGTTTGTGAGAAATTTGAAAACTTAATAACATCTGCTGAATCTATACAAGCTTTTGTGATAGCAAATAGCGTTCCAAAACGAGTAGATTTATTGATAAACGACAAAAGCGTTAGCGAAATGTTAGTTGAAGAGCATCTTGCTGTCAAAATTCACGCTGAAGAAGAGTTGATAGACGAAATAGTTGATCTCGAGCTGGACCCTCATTCTGCTTTCGTAAGTCACCTTAACTCTCTTAATGAGTTTTGGATACAGGAGGAAAAATCTGTCGGCGACTTGGAAGTTATGAGTGACAGATTTATTGTAGCACATATGTTTCCTAAAGTCGAGGAGATTAAAGAAAATTTATTATGCGTTGCTAAATATCCGGAGGATAATTGTTGGTATAGGGCGCGCGTTATATCACATACTGATAATGCTACGCGAGTTATATATATTGATTATGGAAACTCCGCTACTTCAACCGAGATACGCGCTATACCCGCAGATGTTGCTGATATTCCTCCCCTATCAAGAAAATGTCGCTTGGTTATGCCAGAAGGAGTCACTGAGTGGTCCGAGAGAGCTTATAAGGAATTTGTATCATTAGCAGCCGACGGAGCAACTATATTTTTGTTAGAAGTATTAAAGGAAGATGACACATCGTTGGTAAAATTAACATTAGACGGTAAAAATGTAACGGAAATGCTTGCAAACTTCTGTGAATTTTATCCAGCAACCATAGAGGAACGATTACCTCCCTTGGGCGAAGAGAATGTCCCAAATGTATACATTAGCCGTTTAAATTCACCTGATGACTTTTGGATTCAAACTGAAAGTAATATCACAGATTTGAACGTGATGTCAGATAGATTACAAGCGGCGCCTACTTTCCTCCCGTTAAATGCGCCTGAAATTGGGACTATTTGCGCTGCGATCTTTCTGGAAGATGGTATGTGGTATAGAGCTAAAATCATCTCGCAGTCGGAAGACGCTACTCAAGTGTTGTACATAGATTATGGTAATATAGCAATTACAAACGAAATACGTATGTTGCCCGTAGATATTATAAGTATTTCTCCTCTGGCAAAACATTGCGCTTTGAAAATGCCAGATATTGTAGATGATTGGCCTTCGGAGGCTTGTAAGAAATTCGAAGAACTTGCCGCAGGTGGTGAAACGGTATTCGAATTCGAAATTCTTGACAATAGCAATGATCCCGCTTATGTTAAATTAATATATAATGGCAGAAATGTTATCGATATTTTAATACCAACGGCTGAAACTGTGTCTCAAGACAGAATAGAAGTAACTTCGTACGAAAATAAAAATGTGAGTGAGGAATCAGAAAAAACAGATGATATTGATGAAACAAGAAGCAATGTTAATGAAGAATACAATGCAGATGTAAGTGCGTCAGAAAATGAAAGTCCAAAGCAAAAAATAAAAGAAGGTGCAGGCGATGCATCTCCGTATGGTAGCTTTGCTGTAGAACTTACTGTAGATGAAATAGTTCAAAGTATGAAGAAAGATGAAGGACAAGAAGATGAGGAGACGATAAAGGATCATAGCGACACTACTGCATCTCACGAGAAAGACGACATCGACAAAGTAGGGGAAGATGTAAAGACACAAAATGATGTTCATAAAAATGAACATAATTTAGAATGTACTGAAATTAATGTACAGAGTAGCAAAGAACATGTTGATAGCAAAACTGTAAACGAAGAAGCTCCATCAAAAACATCACAAACAGAAAAAGTAATATTGAACTCGAAAATAGAAATATATAACAATCAAGAGGATATATGTGAACCAAATATAACTACACAATCGGAAACTTCCGAAGAAAACGATATGTTGGAAACAACTACAGATGAACAGCGTATGGAAGTACCAGAACAGATTTCCACAGATTCGCAGAAGGTGACTAATATTTTAAGCTTTAATAATGAAGACAAATATGATGTTGAAAGTCACTTACAAGACACTGATGAATTAAATGCGAGCATAACGGAGTCTAATGTTAAGGACATAGAGGAGAAGGTCTCCTCACATTTACAATTATCAGAAATAGAAACTGCAAAATGTAGTGACAAACAAGATTCTGAGGATATTAAACAACAAAGTAATATTGAGGAAAATGTTAGCAGTATATATTTTGAGCATCACACTGACACCAAGAATATCGAAGTATTTTTGGAAAAAGGACCTGCAGAGAGAACAGATACAGAATGTGAGATTAGTGATGAAGGAGATTCAGAAAAAAATAAATCCCAAAGTACCATTGAAAAGAATCTTCCCAGTGCGGATTCTGAACATCACTCTGATTCGACGGATATAGGAGTATCTACGGATAAAATGTCTGCCGACATAGCAAGTGAAGAATGCAAGATTAGTGATGAAAGTGATTCAGAAAAAAATAAATCCCAAAGTACCATTGAAAAGAATCTTCTCAGTGCGTATTTTGAACATCACTCAGTTTCCACAAATATAAAGAAAGTGTCGACAGAGAAAACAACTGAAGAATGTAAGATTAATGATAAACAAGATTCTGAAGATAGCAAACCACAAAGTACTCTTGAAGAAAATATTCACAGTATAGATACTGAACATTGTTCTGATATTGCGGATATAAAAAATGTATCCATGGCAAATGTACCTATAGATATATCTAGTGCAGAATGTAAGATTAGTGAGAAAAATGATTCTGAAGATAGTAAATCAAAAAGTAGTACTGAAAAAAGTATTAGTAATACAGATTCACAACCATCTAATACAAAAGATCTGAAAGAAAGGATGTGTTTAGACATAGATTCTGCAACCATAGTAGAAGAAGAAAGTAACATTGTTGACGAACAAAATTCTGAAGACAGTAGTGAAGAAAATATTAACACTTTAAGTTCACAAGTTTATTCTGACGTAAAGGATACAACCGATCAGACATCAGTGAATTTACAATCTACAGAAAACAACAAACGTTAGAATATTAAAGACAAGAATATTGAAGAGTGTAAGTATAATAGCGAAAAATGTCTGTATAATAGATTCTAAAGATTTAATTCTACACAGAGAGTACGATTTGTCTGCGAGCGCCTTTGGATTTCTATCTACATGGGAACATCGATCAATAAATGTAGAATTATTAATGTGCAAGATGAAAGTGCTGAAACAAGAATTTGTGGACACATTAATAAAAGTCATGAAGAAATTCTTTACATCAGAGTACATCAGAGTGCATCAGAGAATATGCAAAGACTGACTTTGTATTTCAGCGTAACGCTTGACTCATAATGGAATCGCAAATAGCGGACCTTTTGTTATTTTTTCAACTAGACCTGTTTTGAATTTATGAAAATTTTATTACATTTACGTTATTTGAGAAAACGTGATTACTATTACGAATGCACAGAATTTGAGATTACTGTGCTCTTATTTATACTAGAGAACATTCCCAAATGCGTATTGCAGCTTTAAATGTAAAGAGACAAAAGTAACACATTTTCATTTTTCAGTCTTCTGTTTAGTATGTAAGTGAAGATAATAGTCTACATTATTTGATTATGTACTACATATTAAACAAATCCTTTTAACATTAACATAAAACAAAGTATAACAACATTAATTAACTATTTTCCTGGTGCTTTGCCAAAGAATAATAATGATTGTGCTTCGTATATAATAATTCAACACTGTTCTGTTTCTATATGGAGTACCTCAGTATCTCATATGGATATTATAAGACACATATGATCATTCGAAAAATTAAACATAAATTTGATATAATATATGAAAATAATATAAATTTACATGTTTGACAGTATTATTAACTCTTAATAATAAAAATACATATATTTTTTTAATATTTTCGTTATTTTTCTTACAAATCTTTCAAATTTTACGTTGATAAGGTAAATTTTTTTAATCACTAATTACTGATAAGCTTTAATGAAAATTTAAGCTTTAAAATAACGTCACGTGAAATTACAATTTATTTTCAAATGTTACATTTTTCTATCGAAATTCATGAAATTTCAGTCTATACATTTATAATTAAGAATAAAGCATACAACTAGTAGTAGAAATATATGATTACTATAGTACTAATTGTAAGATGAAAATGTAAAATGTTACAATTCAACTTCATAGAATTATATCAAATTTATAACAAAAGATAACATTTAAAATGTTAGTTCTTCCTTATGTACACTTAGTTTTTTAACTTTGTAGAATTATTGTAATCATTTTTATTATTATGAAAAAAGAATCCATTAATTGTCAAAGTGTTCACCATTTTCTAGTAATGATATCCTACTATTCATATAAATAAACTAAGAGAATTATGAAAATATAATTTTTGCAGAGTAATTTCTATCATATTATAAATACTATATGTTAATACGTAGTTATCATAAATATGAATTCATTATTTTACGTACTAGTAATATATCGATAAAGTACGCTTTTTTGCTTCTGTTTTAATCTTAATGATAACATTAAATTGAGTTCAAGATGATACTGCTGATATATTTTATAATTGACGTATATATTACATACATGTAGTATTATCGAATTGTCTTTTCGCATAGTAATATGCATAATTCACGTCATGATCTAATTATGAATTTTTTTACTACGTTGCGAACACTGAAGATATTTAAAATTGCTACAAATTATTGTGGTATTCAAATCATAAATAAATAAGAGCTTAAAGTGTACATACTCTTCAGTACTAAAAAATTATTGTTGATAGGCAGTCGTTCGTTTCTATTTGTTTAATCATATACGAATTCGTTTATAAAATTGATATCCGTTCGTTGAATGCTAATATAAATTATGATCCCATAAAAATAGTACGTAATATTTGTGAATGACGTTAATAATAAACAAATACATGCGTAGTTAGAACAGATGAAGTACTAAAAAGAGACTTATCGGTAAAAAGAAAAAATTTAAATGTACTCAATAAAATCGAAATTAAAATTGGTAACATATCTGTTCAATTAAATAATTAATTATGCGTAATAAGATGTTAAAAGTTGTAAAGAAACACTACTATAAATACTAGTTTCATTTATCTTTTATTTCGTATGATTATAACCATATTTGTGATTTCAATTTATATATACATTATACATACATTCACAGTCTAATAAACATGAGATTATTGTGTAAACATTTCTATTATAACAATAAAATATATTTTCTAGTATAAATCTAAGAACGTTTATCATTCTACGTAGAAAATGACACATCCCTTTAAATGTGAGACATTTCTGTTATGTATAAACTTCTTCTTTTTTGTACTCATTGTCGGTTCTCTTTATGTTAATGAGGTTTCGAATCATCTCCATGTAGATCTTTTTCCGCCATTTCTTTTTCCTCATCGGTTGTGTCTACTTTAACGATACTTTTCATCTTCTTTAATTTTTGATGTCGTCTTCTTGCTGTTTAAAGAAACTTATTTACCTTAGTATATTAAAATCTCTGAAGTATTATTTAATATCGATTTATGATTTAGTTTATATCAGCGAAGTTAATCCTTCAATTAGAAATACATGGGTATATCAGATCAGCCATAAATAATGTAAATATTAAATTAAAAAAAATTAAAAATAAAATATAAGAACAGCTGTTCAAAACATCAGATGTTGATAGGTATCTAAAGAATCAAAAAGATAATTATACAAATGATTCACTTTTACAAGCTAACTACCTTATTTGATATTTTGTAAATCAAAAGGTATTTGAATTACTCATGGAGTGACCTAATGGAAGGAATATCTTTAATTGTTTTGGAACATCCTATCATTCTTTCATACATCACATATATATATGTACCCCTTTTTTTAGCAATTTTAATATTCTTCTCCATCTCAGCATTATATTTTTGCTGTTTATCTTTCTTTATGATGTCGAGAGCGACTTCTATCTCCTCTTCCAAATAGTACCGAAGAGGACCTCTGCATCGTTTGCATTTCATTTGCTCGCCCGTGGGTTTAACGATTTTACCTCTGCGATGACCGAATCGCATAGGTCCTATTACTCCACGAGATTGATTACCTCGTAATCCACCTCTTTGGCCAACTCGTATTCCACTTCGCATACCGAGTCTAAGCACACTTCTTCTCCTTTGGGTACCTCTTTTGGTCGAGGGTAGGACGTCGTCTTCTTCTTGAATGCGAATCTTGACATCAGGTCCTTCTCCCGTTGGACCACTGAGTGGAAAAGGTGGCGCAGACGCGTGTTTTAACGGTAGAGATTTTGGACCATACTTCTTGATATCGCAGCAAAATCCAAACGGTTTAAAATCTAAACGATCGTACGAGGTACCGACATTAAGTTGCTGACGTAAGCGTTTCATGTTGTGCTTATGTCTGATATACTTTGAATTTAGATAGAGTTTCAACGAAAGGAACTTTAATGTTGAGGTACTACGTGAAATAGGTTTGAAAAATTTGACAGGAGACTGATTAGAAGAACTCTTGTTCAGTATATTTTAAAAATACGAAAACGATTTTCCCGCTACTGTACTTATTGCAGACTTGATTGGCTCAATCGTCTCAAAGTCTCAATAATGTAAAACACACACAATCGTGAATAGCCAGGTAAGGTAAGTAAGTAGGTTAGGTATTAGGTAGGTGTCTTACACACAAGTAAAAATGTACATATATAATATGAGTGTGTATGTATTATATACATGTTGAGAGACAGTTTGATATTTGTTAAATAGAAAACTAAATAGTGAAGAAGATTGGAAATTATAAAATAATGTGTGTCAGTTTTGAAATGTTTTTCATAAAATTATGAATTCCTCGACTTTATCGTCTGGAACTTTAAGTCACTCGTCCGGACAGAGAACACCGGAATCCCAAGATTCAGAATTAACCTCTGTCGGCAATCAAACTTCAAAGATTCTGAACCAAATCAAATCCGAGTTACAGGATCAAAAGCAACAGGAACGACTACTTCGAGAGCTACATTTGAAACGTGTTCAATCATTAAAGAAAGAATTAGATTACATTAAAGCAACAGAGTGGAGATACCAGCCGATGGATTGGTAAATCATTTCTTCATTAAATTTGAAAATTTATAAATAACTCTTTTATATATTTAATAATATGTATACTAATAATAATAATGATAATATATGTTTTATAGGTATATGGATAGAAACAATAGGAATTAATTATGTTGTCATTTATATATAATGTTATGAAAAGTATTACACAGCAAAAATCAATTATTGAAAATGACGCAGATGAAATAAATAATGCTATAGCAAGAATCGAAAATGCTTCCAAAAAAGAAATACAAACAAATGAATATTTTGATAAGAACACCAGTTTTAATACAGGGAATATCACTTTCATTGCCACAGATTATGTTTTGGTTGATAATATTTTTTTTTGTGATAAAGCACAGATAGCAATAAATGATTTCGAAGTAGGGGATAGAGTTTTATATTCAGCTTCAGTAGATAATGATAAACAAAAGCACAAAATAAAAATTATTTCCAAGATAGATGGATCATGCGATAATGGAGTATTAAATTCCCAAACAAATATTGCTGAATCACAATCACTAACAAAATGCATAATTGGATACGTTACAGAGCGTGATAATCGATTGTTAACTATACAACCAAATGACATTGTTGTAAACTTAGACAAAGTACAAATCGAATTTATTCCTGTAATTGGTGATTGGTTAACATTAGAGTCACAGGTAGAGATTAATGAAAGTTCCTATGATTTGAATGAAGAAATTTTGGAGATACAAAGGGTTCAACCTTTAAGGTCTATGTTAAATGTCGGTACCATATCTAGTTTTGATCCAATTAAAGCATTTGGTGTCATTGATAAAGTTATTGTGTTTAATAAAACGATATGTGATCCTGGATATATTCCCTGCGTTGGGGATCAAGTAGTTAGTGACAGCATTGAGAGTGATCAAGGAATGTATAAATGGAGATCACTAACAGTAGCTCCATTATTTAAGGCAAGTTTTGCATTTTAAACAAAAAATTCAAGATTGAAATAGAATGAAACTTATCTTTTACAGGTGTCTAAAATATCACCATTAAGCGATGTTTTTTCAACATACAACGAGAAGGATTTAAGCGACCTTTTGGAAAATAAGAATTCTATCATCATTACCAAGAATTTAAATATTGATTTAGAGATAGAAGAAGAAAAAAACGTAAGAGTTACGATACAAAATGTAGGTGATACTACTCATGTGTTGCTTAAAGGCTGTTTTACGACGAAGGCAGCTCAGTCTCAATTAACATTAGTTCAGCCAAGTACTGTTAATGCAGTCTCACTTGATTTGAATCCTTCTGATACATTAATTTACATATTCAAATGTACGGCAAAGTTTGTTGGTATCAGCGAAGAGTTATTTATCTTTAAGTTCAAAGAGTTTGAAATTGGAAGAATCTTTAATATTACTGTTAAACCAAAAACTACAAAGAATAAGTCGAACAGTACAATTGATGATATCAAAGTTACCAAATTTCGTGTGCCAGATTTGGATGAATCCAGTCAAGACACTTATATCCCGGGTGTTCGACTTCGTAAACCGCCGTCATTTATTAAAGTACCCAATGGACATTTTAAGATTCCTGAACATTATTGGAAACTAATATTGCAATGTATCGACGAACAAAAGTCACAAACGGATTGTGAATATGAAATAGGAAATGCTATACCCAGTTTATCGAATAGGCTGTGTTTGGAGACATACAAAGATCGTTTTCATACTTTATTATATTTAGAAGAAATAGCTGAAATACTAAATATGCAACAATATAACATAGATAGTGCGGTGATGAGACGCTGTGGAGAATATTTAGTTATGGAAGTTCCCGGTCTTGCTGAGAAACGTCCATCTCTTATTATTGGTGACAGAGCTGTAGTATCATTTATATGGGATAGTTCTCAAGGTATGCTATTAACAAATAAACATAAGGAATTTGTATAAAATGTGAACTTTTTTGTATGTGTATAGGGAAATTAAAATATGAAGGATACATCCATAAAGTTGCGAATAAGGAGATCTTTTTAAAATTCCACTACAAATTTCATGACACATATAATTACGAAGCTTGTCAAGTAACATTTAAATGTTCACGAACCTCTATACAACGTTGCCATAATGCAATTAATATGGCTGTACATCGTCTCGGACAGAACTTCTTATTTCCTACTAGTATTACTGAAAAAGAATCTCAAATAGATATTGAGAAACTTGAAACAAAAAATAAACCAATCGTGAAGCCATTAACTCATCAACGGACTGATTCAGTATCGTCAGAATCTTCTAGTAGTACGTCAAAATCTATGCCAAAACTGACAGTTGTAGAAAGATTGTTTAATGTTAAGCCTACCGAACAAGATACAGAAGTATCAGTAAAAACTGTTGCAGTGACAAAAGATGTGCCCTACGATGAATCTAGGAATGAAACAGATATTAATAAAAATGTTGCACATGAATTGAGACAAGATACAAAGGAGACGCCAACTTCTACTTGTGATACTAATTTATTGTCATACATTTCGCAAGTAAAGAAACGAAAGTTATATTGGTTTAACGAAAATCTAAATTATTATCAAAAGGAAGCTGTAAGGAATGTGTTAAAAGGCCGTGCTCGACCATTACCTTACGTAGTATTTGGGCCCCCTGGTACAGGAAAAACCAGTACCCTTTGTGAAATAATACTGCAAATCTTAACACTCATACCCGAGAGCCGATTATTAGTTGCAACACCGTCTAATAGCTCGGCAAATCTTATATCAGAAAGGCTGTTGGATAGTGGTGTACTTAGACCTGGAGATATGGTACGCATATGTTAAATTCCTATGACATATTATGTATTATGTTCGTATGACATGAACATTTTTTTTATAAATATGTCAAAAATTTAACTACTGTCGTAAAAAGTTTACATTTTAATATGTTCCTTTTGCAGGTACGACTTGTAGCTCATCACTGTTTGAATGATGATTCCATACCCAGCAAATTGTTGCCGTACTGCGCGACTGCAGAATTAGCAGACGAAAATTCTATTCAAAAAGCAAAATATAATGGAGTGGGACCAAGAATAAATTGTCCTATGAGTGTACTTGGTCGTCATAGGATTACTGTTGGTACCTGTATTGCATTAGGAATATTGAATAACATGGGTTTTCCTCATGGACATTTTTCACATATATTAGTAGACGAAGCTGGTCAAGCAACAGAACCAGAGATCATGATACCGTTAAATTTTACTCATTCTGACTACGGACAAGTAATTCTTGCAGGCGATCCATTGCAACTTGGACCAGTTGTACAAAGCAAATTAGCAAATTATTTTGGTTTAGGCGAATCATTTTTGTCTAGATTGTTACGACATTTTCATTATCAACGAGATTCTAATAGCTTTGAAACACAATATAATCCAAAACTTGTCACCAGGCTTATTTTCAATTACCGAAGTTTACCTGAAATACTTGAATTATCAAGTTCGCTATTTTATGATTCTGAACTAAAAGCACAGGTATGCTTATGTATTTCATCGTCACTTCATTTATATTATAATACTGATAAAAGACGTTTACAGGTATCTCCGAAAGAAAGTAAAGAAGCTAAACTTTTAGAAACTTTAGCTGCCGAATTACCAGAAAGAAAAGGTTCTCCGCCAGCTATAGTGTTTCATGGTGTAATTGGGGAGAATTGTAAAGATAATGATAGTCCGAGTTGGTATAATCCAGTAGAAGCAACGCAAGTATATCTTTATCTGTTGAAATTATACAAATGCGGTCTTTCACCTGATGATGTCGGAATTATAACACCTTATCAAAAACAGGTAAAAGTTGATTTTTTATCTTATATAATTTTTTCAAAACACATTTGCAACGTTCCCTCATTTTTTTGCAGGTCCTTCAAATACGAGAATTACTTATGGAATTGAACGTAGAATTACCAAAAATTAGTAGCGTTGAAGGTTTTCAGGGTCAAGAGCGTAATGTAATCATTATATCAGTTGTCCGATCCTCGGCTGGTTTGGTGAATGAAGATATTAAACATTCCCTTGGATTTGTTGCTTGCCCTCGAAGACTTAACGTTGCAATTACTCGAGCTCGTGCTTTAGTCATCATTTTAGGAAATCCTAAGCTTTTAGCCCAAGATCCGTATTGGAGAAGCGTCTTAATATATTGCATAAATCGAGATTCTTATACCGGGTGTAGTTTCGGTTACTCCGATTTAGATGATCTTGGTACGAGAACAAACAATTTTTTGACCAATGAAGAGATTAACAATTCATGATTTGAGTGAAGTATTTTTGGAAGAAATCTTTTTTATACTCATTGAAGCCTGTATTGTTCAGTAGTGAAATTATATTTTTCTGTATCTACAATATTTTATGTTCACATTTTGTATGAAAAAATAAACCATGTCGTTAAGAGCGTACATACATTAAAAAAAACTGAAAATCATCTTACATAAATTAGTGGAAATCTTTAATCCAAATTACACACCTATAATATTATCTTTATCTTATACATCATACATACTTTTGGACTTGCATTTACTTTTAATGATTTTACATACATACTTTTGGACTTGCATTTACTTTTATGATTTAATCGGTTTAGATCATCGTAGAAAAAAATCAATATTGAAGTTTCTGAAGAGACTCGAACTTACAAGCGTGAATAAAAATACTAAACTGCGTTTCCTCTTTTCACGTATTTCTTGTAACGAGATGTGGAGATACATATAAAAAAAATACAATAGTCGTTGCGTTGTAATGTATACACGTATATTTATGCAGTATTGTAACCAATATATTTTTACTCATGCAATACTTTATAACAAAAAGTTTATGAATAAAAATATATTCATTTCACGGTCTTAATTCTGGTTTCACCTTACATACGTAGAATTGAATTATTTCACTGTCGTGTATTCGGCTTACAGATTCAGTTTGAATTATCTGCCCTTTTTTGCTTTTTGATGTCACAAAACCAGATTCCAAGACGTTTAGTACTGTAAACAAGTCTTCCGTCAAAAAATAAAAAAATCACTTTACATTTAGAATACGAGAATCTAATGATGAATTCTTTTGATTCGTACGTATATGAATGAGTTGATGAATAAATAGTACCTTGCTTATATATAGGATACGATTTAATATTATAATACGATTTTTAGCATATTTTTAAAAAAGTTAATGAACACAAATGTTAGCATAATGGCTCCTTTTTTTAGTTCGTTATACAAAAGTGATATATACAGGGTGTCCCAGAAAAAGTGTTATAGCCGAAAAGGGATAATTCTGGAGGTATTTCTAAACAACAATTTCCTTTGGTAAAATGCAAAGTGAGCCATGGTTTTTGAATTATTAACGAAAAACACTGACTAATGAGAGCACGCGTAGGGTCTGCTCCCAGCCACGGATAGGTTGGCTCGGATCGTGATGCTCGGCCGTGGCATAGCGCGGGCCCTATACGCACTCTTATTGGTCAGTATTATTCGTTAATAATTCAAAAACCGTGACTCACTTTGCATTTTACCAAAGGAAATTGTTGTTCAGAAATACCTCCAGAATGATCCCTTTTCAGCTCTAACACTTTTTCTGGGACACCCTGTATAGTATAGAATGGTACAACTGTTAAAAATGTATTTAATAATAGAAAAAGCTTGTTAAAAAGTGATTTGATCGATATTTAGTTAAATTCTTTAATATAAAATATAATTTCTTGATGGAGAGAATCTTAATAATTTTGAGTTAAACTGCAAAGATGGAAAAAACTGATCTATGAAAAATGATTGTGAATGATACTGACCTCAGTTAGTTCCACATTATATTTGCAGAATCCTGATTCTTAGCTTTTAGTTTACGTTCAATTAAGTTTTCTAGCGCCTCGCTTCGAACACTTAGGGTTTCAATTTTTTCAACTAATTGTTGATACGGCGATGCAGGCTGTCCACCCATTACAACATGCCCCAACTTACTGTCTATCTTCGCGTCTAACCGTGCATTACGGATTAGATTGACAATCCAACATTCCGCTATGTCTGTTTCCATATTAAGTTTCTCTGCAAGCATTCTGTAAGGAAAGTATTTTGAAAACGTCGTTAGTTGATTAAAAATTAAAAATATAAAGTTATTTACCCAATACTTATACATTGATGTATTCTACAGAATGTCTCGAAAATCATTAAGCGAGCATTTTCTACAAATTCACTGTGTAATGCAGTTAGGAAAAAGTCACTACATAGAACTGTTTCACAGTCTTGTAGCTTTTGTCTTGCTCCATCAAAATCAAAATTCACGTATAAGTGTTCTAAAAATTCCGTAATGGGATCACGATACGTATAAGACTCCTATAAGAAATAACAATTGATTAATCTTAGAATCTATATATATATAT